TTATACTCTGGTAAGGTTTAAACTCGGATCGGCGACATCTTAATGTAACATGCTAACCATTAGACCACGATGGCACTATTAAGAATCACATTGTTATCTGCTGCTATTGATGTCTACTCCTTTTATTTACCTTACTCTTTTTCTCCCCTTTTTAGATTTCTGATTAAGTTATGTCAGATTTATTAATGTAGTGAATCAACTGATTTTCATTGAGCAGGTGTAATATTCATTAAAGGTGCAGTAGGTGATTGTCTTCAGAAACATTTGTTGTTGTGCTGGTTGAAAGTCTCTTCACAGTCCAATAGTAATGATTACAGTAAATGATCTAAATGTGTTTATATGTATTTTTATATTCTGGGTAGAGCATGAAACTAAAAAAAATGTTTATCCAATTAAATAGTGTTGGACCGTCATCTCCCTTAATTCCGATAAGCAGGTCAGACTGGGTGTCAGCAAATGTAGATTCCGACTTCTGCGCATCTGTTCACGCAGATCCGCCATTAGCACGTGCCCGTCTGCATCACAAACGCATGTGCTCCGAGCAAGCTGCGGGCCGCTCGCAGATGCCGAAGGACGCTGAAGAACCGCCGAGCTCGGGCTGATTACTGTAAAGTCAGGCGCGGGTATAATTCGCCCTTAAAGCGGCCGCGCGGTCACGAGACGGACCGGGAGAAATCAAATGCTGAATTGAAACTTTTAAAAACCCAAATCAATATTGGAATTACTTTAGCACGCTGGAGGAAGGATGACACCATGGTGTCAGGGTTCTGCCACTCTGGTCTTGTAAATTCTTGTTTTGGTGGCAGATCTCGGACACTACCTGTGTCTGGTCCTGTTTCTGTCTCTGTGTGCGCGCGCGCCGTCGTGGGTGTACGCAGAGTGTGCGCGCTCCTGCTTGACGCGGCCGCACGCGCGCTCTGCGTCCCTCAGACGTGCGCGCTCTTGTACTCGTGTTTGTGTTTTCGTCTGTCAGCAGCATGGTGTTTCATTCCCAGCGTCTCAGTCTTGTTGGTTTCGGTTTTGGTCGGCGCTGGGATGAAGCATGCATGCTGCATGTGTGAGCGCACGGTGAGTGTTTTTATTCATCGTGTGCTCGTGTCTTGCGTCTTTTGTCAAAGCACGTGGCTCGGTGTTTACATTGTGGTCACGTGTTTTTGTCGTGTGCTTCAGTGTTGTGTTATGTGAGCGCATGGCTTGTATTGTCTCTCTGTGTCATGCGCTCTCCCGTCTATTGTCTAGTCCCACCCTCCTTGTCAAACCATTATTAGTTAATTGTGTTCACCTGTGTGTCAATTTACTTTTTGCTTTATAATCCCCCTCATGTTTTCAGTCCTTGCCAGTTCGTCGTCGATATTCCCTCTGTGTTCCTGTTCCAGTCATGTCTTGCCAGCCCAGCCCAGCCCAGCCAAGTTTGTCTGTTTTTGATTCATGTTTTCCCCCTTGGGGTAATTTGTTTTGCCTTTTTGTTTTATTTGTACTTTATTATTAATAAAACCCAATTATTGTTTGCACTTGAGTCCTCGCTCCTTTTCCCCTCACCAGACCATGACACATGGCTGAAGTATTACTGTTAAACAGGTAATGTTCTGTTTTTAAACTATTTTATGTTAGATTGTGTTTTGTTATGAATGACTTATATGCACAGACGTGTTGTTCAGCCACTGAAATCTCCCGGTGAAAGATTGATGTGATTATTTTCAGTTTCATAAGGTTCTTTGACAGCATCTATAATGTAGACTTATATTTAGTTTAACAACAAAACACCAGTAAATAGCGCTATTCCGCCTAACCTGCTTTATTGAGCTGAAGTTGCTTTTATATTCACATTGGGTCATTTTTGAACAATGACGGCCTTCCTATACTGTTTACCGCTACTCTGAATTTTTGCTCTGATATAGCAAGTAAGTATGGCTAAGTAATAAATGTACTTCCTGCACGGCACTGGCACTAACTAACTGGCGAATGACATGAACTAGTGGGTTGTCTGTCTGCTGTTGTGTTGCGGTGCGCTCGCGATTTCAGGGGGTGTGGCTTTGAATCACAGTTCCTCCCCACTGTCCAAAGATAATATGCTAAGCGGCTAGCTTTTTAGCAGATCACCTACTGCACCTTTAATATTAATTAATATTTACTAAGGTGCCACTGTTTGAGGTGGAATGGGGTGCAGCCCGCAGGTTAATGATGATTATCATTAACCTGCGGGCTGCACCCCGCTCACGGGGCTGCGAGAAAATAAATAAAAAGAGCGGAGCTGCGGCAAAATAATGAATAAAAAAAGAGTGAGGTTATGGTCAAATAAACAAATAAATGAAAAAAGTGCAACTGCTTAGAGTGCGAGGAGCTAGGGGCAGCGGCCAAAAAAACGGACCGACCCACCGGGAATTCTCTCAGTTCTCCCGATTAGCCAATCCGAGCCTGCTCCTGGTCCTCAAATACGTTGCGCACACTTCTCACTCCCCACCGCATCCCTCCTCGCTCTTGAGACACGCTGCGCGCACCTTATCAAACACCATTAAAGCACCACCCCCCACTGACAGCTGAGCGGGACTCTGCAAATTAAACCGTGAAACTCTGACCAATGTGAGGAGAGTTTACTCACACGTGACTTGTTTTCGCTCTTTTGGTCCGTTTAGAAACTTTGCCGTGTAAAAGCGAACCGCACCAAGAGCAAAGAGCAACAATGAAACAATTTTAATCCCCGTTTCGGAACAACTGAATCGATTCACAGGTGTGAAAGCACCCTCAATCAGAGTTTGAAAAAACTCAAACGGGTTGGTGAAAGGTGAGTAAATGATGACAGAATAGGGTATATGCTGAAGCATGCTAATAGGACTTTTAATTTGCCAGTAACCTGGGTTAATCGTTTCCTGTGAATTGTGTGCCAACGCAAAATCGGCGCGTTTAAGGTCTGTTTTCTTTAAAAATGAGCGATCTCTACTGGCTGAGTGATATCTTATATAAAGTGGGTCTCAGATTGTACACGAGCACTGCATTAAATTACATGTCCCCCTGCCATGTCTTTATAATATGGGCATTTATTTTACCCCAGTATATTAAATGGAGCTTCTGCGCTAACCTGCCGATTCCTATGGGCGAGTGCGAGCAAACGGCTTTTTGTCTCGTTTTACATTCGAGCAACTTAATGAATGCCAAAGTCCGTTTAACTGATTGTATTTTAATTACATTACAACATCGATGCTGTAAAATGAATTGTATACAATGGAAAAAACTCACATTAACAGGTCACAGGAAAGTTTATCAGCATGGGAAACACACTAGCTCGGCATATACCCCATTTAACCTTTTTGGGGTGAGCTATTACTTAAAGCAGGGGTGTCCAAACTTTTTGGGCCGAGGGCCAGATGCAAAAAGACAAACGTTGTCGCAAGCCAAATTTTACATACATCACACAGACACGTATATACATATATATATATATATATATATATATATATATATATATATATATATATATATATATATATATATATATATATATATATATATATATATATATAAATACAGTTAAAGTCAGAATTATTAGCCCCCCTAAATTATTAGCCCCCGTTTATTTTTTCCCCAATTTCTGTTTAACGGAGAGAAGATTTTTTTCTCCACACATTTCTAAACATATTACTTTTAGTAACTCATTTCTAATAACTGATTTATCTTTGCCATGATGACAGTAAATAATATTTGACTAGATATTTTTAAGACACTTCAATACAGCTTAAAGTGACATTTAAAGGCTTAACTAGGTTAATCAAGTTAACTAGTTAAGTTCAGGTAATTAGGCAAGTTATTTTATAACAATGGTTTGTTCTGAAGACTTAAAGGGCTAATAATTTTGACCTTAAAATGATTCATAAAAAAATTTAAACCGCTTTTTATCCAAGCCGAAATAAAACAAAAGTCTTTCTCCAAAAGAAAAAATATTATCAGACATACGGTAAAAATGTCCTTGCTCTGTTAAACATCATTTGGGAAATATTTAAAAAAGAAGAAATAAATCAAAGAGGGGCTAATAATTCAGACTTCAACTGTGTGTAGATAGATAGATAGATAGATAGATAGATAGATAGATAGATAGATAGATAGATAGATAGATCATAACAAGAACTGCTGCTTAATTGAATGCATGTAATAGGTAACACCCGGTGGTTATTTATTGAATTACGTTCATTTTTGTATAGCGGGCCAGATTCTATTGATATTTATAAAAAGCCTCGCGGGCCGCCACAAAACTGATTGCTGCCCGCAGATGGCCCGCGGGCCGTAGTTTGGACACGCCTGACTTAAAGGGTTCCACATGGAAAAAAATGCCAAAAAAGAACCTATTTTTTTAGGTTCTGCAGGTTTCAATATGCCGAATTTTGCTAGCCAATCTTAAGCCAATTGTAATGGAGTGTTTTGGTTCAATTTAGCCAGTGCAAGAGCCCAGGGGACCGGAGTGAGTGCTCCGACTTGGCCCCCTCCCCTGTTCCAATAAAGAACCTTTATTTTTAATAATAGGGTAAAAGTGAAATCCAAATATGTGCATACCTTGGGATGGATGTTGAAGTATTTATTGGTCTCGAAGCTTTTTTTCTCATTCTCAGCATAATACAACAAAAAACTTTCCTTGATGATGAAGAATCTGTTATAAAAGCACAAACAGCACCAGAAATTTATTGCAACAAGAAATCCAACAATAACCACAAGGAACATAACCAACAATCTGACATAAAACTCCTCCACCGCTTTCTTCAAATCACCAGATGACCATAAATTTAACATTCAGATGGATGTTTCCTGGAATTGATCTCCATGAGCTCTAATGTACAAAAACTCACCGGCAGCACAGAGCGTCCTCGTAGATTTAACTTACTCAGCTTTAAAGGCATCATAATGACGGGTTACTCGATATCTTCTAAGCCATAAAGCTTTTAAAGTGCACTACACAAAAATATAATATGCTTAAACTCATTTTCGCTTCAAGGCGAAAGTACTTTTTAAGGCACCACTGTACTGACTGAACAACAAACACCTGACAAACAGACGATAAACTGCTAATTAAAAAAGATTCCCTTTATAGCTAAAACAAAAGTGTTTCAGGTTTGTTTTTGCATGCAATACAGGTCAAAAATTTGGCATCAGGAGGACCAGAATGTTTTTGAAAAGAAGAATACATTTATTTGTATGTATGAATGAATGAATGAATGAATTAATTAATTAATGAACAAATAAATAAATGCAGTAAACGGTTAAATGAAACATTTTCATTTTGAATGTATTTTAAAATGTCGTTTACTCCTGTGATTCAAAGCTAATTAAAAACATTCAGCATTATCAATCAACTCATATTTCTCACGCTCCTTCATATCATTATAATTTGGCGATTTGCTGTTTTATTATAGTCAGTTACACAGTAAAACGTTTTATGATTAATAAGTTATGAGAACATGTGTTTTTATGTTAATTTAACTGTTTCAATGCAAGATCAATTTCATTCAACTTAACAATGTAAGACAACCACAAATTTTCTGTCTGTCTTTTTTGTTTTGTTTTACAGTACACCAATGTTGAAAACATTTTATCTGTACTTCATAATTTTTGAGGAAACTATTTACTTGTTGAAATTTTTATCTGAAAAACTTTTTTTTCACACTATACATGTCTTTACTTCCAACAATTTAATGTGGTCTTGTTGAATAAAAGTAAATATCTCTACAATAAATATATAGGTAAAATAATATATTTCAATGGGAAATTGAAATATATTATCCCCCCCCCCCAACCAGCCACAGACACAAATACTTGAAACAGTAGTTTTTTTTTACATTGATAATAAAACAAATACAATAAAAACAACAACAGTAAGGAGATAAATGATTCTTGAGCTATTAAATCATTATGTTACAATTCATAGCACAAGATCTAATGCATGTTTTATACTAGAAAATAAAATAACACTAATGATAATAATAATAGTATTATTAATAATAATAATAATAATAATAGTATTGATAATAATAATAATAATAATAATAATAATAATTGATTCTTGAGCTTTAAATCATTATATTACAATTGTTATGACAAGATTAAATAAATTTTTTTGCTAGAAAATAAAAAACAACATTTATAATAATAATAATAATAATAATAATAATAATAATAATAATAATAAAAGATTCTTGAGATTTAAATCATTATAATACAGTTGAAATGACAAGATTAAATACATTTTGTTCTAGAAAATAAAAAACAACAGTATTAATAATAATAATAATATTAAATGATTTTTAAGCTTTAAATATATATTTTTAAAATTGATATCACAAGATTAAATACATTTTATGCTAGAAAATAAAAACAACACTAATAATAATAATACTAAAAATTATAAACGATTCTTACCCTTTAAATCATTAAATATTACAATTTAAATAACAAGATTAAATGCATTTTATTCTAGAAAATAAAAAACAACATTAATATTAATGATAATGATAATAATAATAATATTAATAATAATAATTCATTATTCTTGAGCTTTAAATCATTACATAGCAATTGATATGACACGATTAAATACATTTTATCCTAGAAAATAAACAACAACAACAATAATAATAATAATAATAATAAATGATTCTTGAGCTTTAAATAATTTTATTACAATCGATATCACAAGATTAAATACATTTTATACTAGAAAATAAAAACAACACTAATAATAATAACAACAACAATAACAATAATAATAATAAATGATTCTTGAGCTTTAAATAATTTTATTACAATCGATATCACAAGATTAAATACATTTTATACTAGAAAATAAAAACAACACTAATAATAATAACAACAACAATAACAATAATAATAATAAATGATTCTTGAGCTTTAAATCATTCCATTACAATTGATATCACAAGATTAAATACGTTTTATACTACAAAGTAAAAAAACAAAACAACAGCACTAATAATAATAAAAAAAAATGTTTTTCATATTACGATTTAAACAACATGATTAAATACATTTTATACTAAATCAATAAAACAGAAATGTTGTAACATAGTTCACTTTGTACCGAGCTGAGATCAAACAAATGCATCATTGGCTTATTTTAAAAGTACATTTAAACTTCTTAAAAATGGTTCTGACCCCAAACTTTTGCGCAGTAATGTGTGTACTGTCTGTTACCTGCGGGACCACTTGGCCGAGGGTCTCCCGAATGGTCTCTTCCACAAAACCCCATGCAGCTGCACTTTGGTGCTGATATCCAGAGCATCTGAGTCTGCCTGCTCCATGGAGGTCCAGGGCGAGAGTAGAGAAGATCTGGACGAAGAGAACATTGCTGACTCTATCAAAAGAGGTGTGGTGAGAAAATGTCGATAAAGTTAAAATAGCAGCAGATACGCTTTCCAATAAACCTATAGAGACGCATTCAGATAGTGATTTCCTCCAGTGGCTCAGTCATGTGGAAATGATGCGGCTGCCAATAGTGACATCAGCTGCTATAGGACAGTGTGTGGAAATAGAAACACACACAGAGGGCGGGAGGAATAGAGACCAGAGGGTTACATCAAGAGGCTTTGGGATACTGCTTTTTATTTATTTATTTAATTTAATCCGAGAGACGTCAGTGTTGCAAGGAAAGCTATTACTTAATGGATTACCTCACTTATGACGATGCGTTTATGATGTTGCACAGACACAGATTCCTATTATTATTATAAGGAGGGACCGAGCATTGAAACGGTGTGTAGGCCCTATTGGAATTGCTCTGTTTATTATTATTCTGCTTCTTCTTCTTCTTTTCTGGAATAAATCGCGATTTTGTGGGTCTAAACATGCCCGAAAACACACGAAACATTGCAAACTCTCCAGAAGTGGCGAAAATTTACGTTTGTTATAGGTTTTGGAAGTGGCCGTGGCAAAATGACTCAACAGCATCACCTATGCAAATTGATGTGAAATTGGGAAGACCTAGGCTGCGTCCGAAACCGCATACTTCCATACTATATAGTACCCTAAAATCAGTATGCGAGCCGAGTAGTATGTCCGAATTTATAGAATTCGAAAATCAGTATGCGAGGAGTACCCGGATGACTTACTACTTACGGCGAAATTCTGGAGAGCGCATCCGGTGCATGTTGTGCTATCCCATGATGCCCCTCAAGCGAATTCATGAATGGGAGTAAAGCGATAGAAAGGTCATGTGACTATGACAAAAAGGCGGATATAGTATGTCCGAATTCCATTCATACGTTTTACATTCATATTGTATAGAACGTACTTTTCTAATGACCGATTAGCATGTTTAAATTTAAAGGGTCATGAAACACCAAAACACATGTTTTGAGCTGTTGACAGTCGTATATGTGTCCCACACTGCTACAAACACTTTTAGGACACCTATATTTCACTAAAAAGTGTAAATGGTTGTTTTTGCGTTATTTCAAGCAAATTCGTACTTCCTGTTTGAAACGAATTTTTAAAGCTGCGTCACGGTCATGACATAATAGCCTGTATTCCAGCGTGCAGACTGGGCGTCTGTGCCAGAGTGAGTCTTATTACGTCTTACAGTGTGTTACATTAATGCATGAGTAAGGCTTGGTTCAAACCAATCAGCGCGCTCTATTGTGCAACTTCATTAATATTCATTACTGTCACAGTGTTTAGATGACAGAAACGCCACGTTGTGTTGGCAAAACAAGCGTGAAGTGTTGCTTTTATAGTTTGCTACAGTTTTGTTTTCATTTTCTCTCTGTGAGAGCGCAGCTGGAGTCACGTGTGGATTAACAGTGTACGCGACGCTCGACAACAATAACTTACGTGTCTAAGGAGGATTATTGTTTACCTGAGAGCTGTTCTTATCTGCAAACGCTGAGATCCAGATTCGCTTGTAGTCTCCTTTAAATAAAGACGCGGCTCTAGTTGCTGGTGATTGTCCTGTCTCTACAGATTTGGTAAGTGAGCGACCAGTGCTCTTTGTTTATTCACTTCATATTTTATTCGTATCAAACAAACTATTGCACCGAGTGTAAACAAGTTAGCACTACAACCAAACTATAACCTCGTGTTGGATTTGTGACCGGAATAACACACGCGGCTTTCTGACACTACCTGCCGTGTGCATCTAAGTTTCCGGGAAATGCAGTTTTTTTTTTCTCTCATTCGCCGTGCGGTATCAAACATTGCATGAAAAATACACGCTTAGAGCAGTTCCTCGAATCAAATATAACGTTTGTCGCGAGAGGCATGGATGAATTGCCTGAATGAAAGAGCCAAACTGCAGTTAAAGTCCAACATTTAATAATTTGGCAAATAATTCCACTACAGATGTACATGTGAACACAGTCTCTTTGTCCCCTGTTGGTTGTGTGTTTTGACTCTGAAATTCAGCGCGCACAAATAGACACTCCCACACCAAACCTCTTTTCTTCCTCCGACACTCCCCCCTAAACAGAGCTGGACACACCCACTTTTCTGACTTTTTCCAAAGTAGAGGTGTGAAAACACCCTGCCGAAACGAGGGGGTTTCATGGCCCTTTAAATGCAGTACCTACTGAGTAGTAGGCGGTTTCAGATGCAGCCATAGAGTTTTAGTCAAAGGGCGTGTCCGTGGCGGCCTCTCAAACTTTGAAGATTCGCCATGAAACAGGAAGTCGTTATAACTCAGGCATGTATTGTCCGATCTGCCTAAAAATTCGGACGATAAAAGTCCTGACCTGAACAGGTTTGCTCGCCAATATCCAGTTACAGTTATAGCACCACCTGCTGGCAACAGGAAAAACTAATTTTATCGTATCAGCACCAAATTTGGGTGGTGTTATCAAAACGTTATAGTGGTGATATATATCACTCTTCTAGGTGAGATAATCTAGAGTTTTCACCAATGTCGACAAAGTGTCCAAGGCGGCCTGACAAACAGCGGTGCTTCGTCATGGAATAGGAAGTATTATAACTCAATCACAAACACATCTACATGCTACATCCTGAACACATCTACATGCTAATATTGAGTGACAGTCATAGCTCCACCTGCTGACACAAGGAAGTTTGGCTTATAATTCATTCTGACCTGCCAGAAAATTCACATGTTCCATAAGAATCCTCTCCTGGAGACATCTACTTGACATTATTGATTCGTAGTCATAGCACCACCTGCTGACAGAAGGAAGTTTGGGATAAATCTGTGATTTTCTTAGGTTTATATTTATACACACACACACACACACACACACACACACACACACACACACACATATATATATATATATATATATATATATATATATAAATATATACATATACATATATGTGAGGTCCCTTTTATTGCTGCTTGCAGCTTTAATTATTATTATTATTAATATTACTGTTATTATTATTGTGTACAATTGCTTTAATGTAAACAACTATAATAATAATAATTATAATAATATAATTGTAAAACTATATATTAAAACCAGCTAATAAAAACACTAAGTATTTTTGGAAACATTATCATGATTTTATCTTTTTTTTAGACTGTCTAAGATATAGACTTTAATTTGAAATATATAAATAAATAATCATTAAGATATTAACCATAAAAACATTTGAATATTCATATGAATATAATGCATACATTTTTAACAAATGAAGTCAAAATACATGTATGCGTTATTTCCACAATTAATAACACATTTTGTCCCAATAACTAAGTTCTTTCCCAAAATTACCATTATTAGTTTTTAGTTTAGTATTTTTTTACACAACACAGCTTTGACCAAATTTATTCATTCATTCATTTTGTTTTTGGCTTAGTCCCTTTATTAATCTGGGGTCGCCACAGCGGAATGAACCACCAACTAATCCAGCATGTTTTACGCAGCAGATGCCCTTCCAGCTGCAACCTATCTCTTGGAAACATTCATACACACTCATACACTACGGACAATTTAGCCTACCCAATTCGCACCTATACCACATGTCTTTGAACTGTGGGGGAAAAACCCAAGCGAATGCAGGGAGAACATGCAAACTCCACACAGAACTTACCTAGCCGGGGCACGAACCAGCAACCTTCTTGCTGTGAGGCGACAGCACTACCTACTGCGCCACTGCATCGCTGTCTTTGCCCAAAGTGCTGAACACAATTGCTCAAAGGCTAAAACAGGTATACACTTTCAACAACTTCTAAAAAACATGTAAAGTTGGAGTTTGTCTAATGTGAGGTGGAACCTTTTTCCAACACTAAATCCAAAGCCCAATCCTCTCTTAGTTTACACAGGCTCCTTCATTGCATACATGCAAGAGGAGTTTGATAAATAAGGAGGTGCCAGCCCATAAAAAAGTGTATGACAGAAAAAAAGAAAGAAAGAAAGACAGAAAGAACGATTGAATGAACGAAAGACAAAAAGAAAAAAAGAAAAAAGGAAGAAAGAAAAAGAACAAAAAACAAAGAAAGAAAAAAGACGGAAAAAAGACAGAAAGAAAGAAATAAAAAGAAAGAAAGAAAAAAAAGAAAGAAAACAAAGAAAGAAGAAAGAAAGAAAAACAAAGAAAGAAAGAAAGAAAGAAAAAAAAGAAAGAAAACAAAGAAAGAAAGAAAGAAAAACAAAGAAAGAAAGATAGAAAGAAAGAAAGAAAGAAAAAAGAAAGAAAGGAAGAAAGAAAGATTTTTTTTTTTGATTTTCACAACACTTTATTACAAAAACATTAATACATTATTCAAACAATCAACTCACAAAAAAGTGAGAAAAAAGAAATAAATTAATCCAAAATGGGAGCAAAGACCAACTCATTTTCATAAATCTCACACAGAGCACCGGCATAACACCACATCAAGTCAAAAGAAGGAAGATCATCCATAGCTTTAAAAAACCTAAAATCAACTAGAATTCTTGATTTGACAGAATTACCAAAAACTGCCAACAAGTTGTGATTCACATTTCCTTCAATTTTTTGCTTTCTCGTACAATATACCGCCATCTTAGCTTGTCCTAATAAAAAATTGAGAAGCTGACATTTAAAGCGTTTCCTCTGAACATATTTAAACCCACAAATGAAAGTTTTAGTGGAAAAGGTTTCTCCAAAAGATACAAACAAATTCTGTAAAACAGTAAACAAAGGCTCAAGTCTGGAGCATTGCATAAACGTGTGAAAAACAGTTTCTCTCTGCAAACAGAAAGGGCAGTCATGTACAACATCAGGATTTAAAATTGAAATAAAAGCATTAACTGCAACGGCACCATGCAAAATTCTCCACTGTAAATCTCCATGTCTTTTAGTTAATGGTGACTTATACAGTGATCGCCATTGAGGGTGCTCATCCTCATTTAATTTTAAAACCTCACGCCATGGAGTGTCCACTCTATTGTTCAGACCCATTTTATTAAAAACTTTAACACATGTTTTATATAAAACCTTCCCAGAAGCTGACTCTTGCCCAATTATTGTCACATCTTTACAATGTAAAAACACCCCTTCACAGTTTTCTAAGTTGGGAGATAATGACAAAAATG